TTGCACCAAAAAAAAAAAAAAAAAAAAGGGCAAAAAAAAAAAAAAAAAAAAAAAAAAAAAAAAAAATTTAAGTTTATATAATGAAATATATAATAAAACAAAGATCATAAGTGTCCATTATATGTTAATTTTATGAATATAAAAATACATATATAATACATAAATATATAGGTTATTACCTAATTGTAATATTTAACCATTAAGTTGTAATTTTAATTTATATACGTTCTTCCTAATGAAAAATCAAAAAAATTAAAAATAATAATAAAAAAAAAAATACCTCATATAAGTCATTATATAAAATTTTTAGACTTAAAATTAAAATTAAATTTTTAATGTTTAAAAAATCATATTAAATGTGTTAACTTTCTGCTATATTTTAGATTGTTCATGAAAAATTATGCTTAATTAGGTATATATATATATATATATATATATATTTTTTTTTTTTTTTTTCATTTAATAAATTGTTTAAAGTTTCTTTTATAATTGCACATTTGAAAAAAATGTTAAATATGTAATACAAAAATTTCCATAGTTTTGTTATATATGTATTAATAACATTATTATGTAAATTTTTAACCTTTTCACCTTATACACATTTTGGAATTTTTCTTTTTTTATTTTTCAAAAATATTTTAAATTATATCTTTTTTGAATTTGTTAATATTTTTAAAGGAATTAAAAATATTAAAGATTAGAATACAGAAGAAAAAAGAAAAAATAAGAGTTTAAATGAGAAGACAAAAATACATAAAAAAAAGTAAGAGTTTTACTACTTTTATTTTAACCATAATGTTATATGTGTAATTTAATAGTTTTATTTTTTTTTAAATTTCTCTATTATTATAAGAACTAACAGAAACCTTTAGTAATTTATTACCTTATACTTTATCTTATTTTTTATAAGCTATTTGTATATTTCATCGTTACTTTATATAAGAAAATTTTATATTTTTAAAGATTTCATTCTTTTAAATACACAGAAAAAAAAATTAAATTGCCTAATTCAGGTTAACTTACTACATAAAACTATTTTTCTTTAAACATAAAATCTTATTAATATATTTTAAAGAAATAGTTACTAATTTATTATTTCAATATTTTATTAAGCTAGAGTTCAGGGGAGAGTTTTTTTTATTCTATACTTGTGTATCTAACAACATCTTTTCTTTTCTTTTTTTTCTTGTTGTTTTAAGTTATTAAATGTTTTTTTAAAAAAATCTTAATAAGATTGTAATAAAATTTCTTATTTTTTTCTTAAAAAAAAAAAAAATAGAGGTGCAGAATTGCATGACATAACATGAATATGCTTCTATTTTGTTTTTTTTTTATGAGAAAAAAAAAGTTGCCACAGTTGTAAAAATAATAAACAATTTTTTATTTTGACAAAAAAAAAAAAAAAAAAAAAAAAA